CCCTCCGGTTTAGGGATATGTCAAACTTGAACAAGCTCGATTTCTCCGCTCTAGAAGTATCTAAAAGAAACTATCTAAAGTGGGTTCAAGACGTGAAGCTCCATCTCACTGCAAAGGGTATTAGAGCCACCATCGAGGCATCTATCGTCGACAAACCTGTTGACGAAGCTCAGAAGGCTACTGCAATGATCTTCATCCGAAGACACATTCATGATGCATTACAGACTGAGTATCTCGCTGAGGAGGACCCACGAACCCTCTGGCTTGCTTTGGCCGACTGTTTCGATCACCAGAAAGACATATACTTGCCTGAAGTAAGACACAACTGGCAGCATCTTCGCTTCCAGGACTTTAAGTCCGTGAATAAATACAACTCTGAAGTTTGTAGAATCCGTTCTTTGTTGAAATTCTGTAAAGTGGAACTAACCGAATCAAATATCCTGGAGAAGACCTATTTGACCTTCCATGCCACCAATATTGTCCTACAGCAACAATATAGGGCACATAAATTCACCAAATTTTCGGATTTGATCTCTGTTCTACTTTTTGCTGAAAAGCAAAATTAGCTTTTGATGAAGAATCATCAAGCTCGACCAACTGGCTCGAACACCGCGCCTGAAGCGCATGCGACTTATTCTAGCAGCCATAAACGATGAAAGAAACGTCGTGGCCATGGCAATGGGCGGCAAGCTCAACCACGGGCCCAAGGTCAACAGAGTGCCGCACCTAAGGGCAGAATTGCGACCCAGCAGCGTCCACCACTCGCTCCTAAGGTTCCAAACTTCAAGAACAAGGGCAAAGCTCTCGTTCAGGCTGCTTCTACTGAACTGGACATGTGTTATCGTTGTGGATCAAGGGATCATTGGTCACGCGTATGCCGAGCTTCCCCTGAGGCTATTGCCAAGTATCATTCCCGTCGTGAGTCTAACTTTGCACATGTGGATCATTCGGAAGATGCAACTACATGAATGGAGATATCGGATTTCCAGGAGGCGTCAGTGCCTATGGATGAATAAATTAGACATGTATTTAGGGTGTTTTACCCCTAGTGGCCGAACCCACTTGGAGTGGCCGGCCCTACCCCCCTATTTTGCTAGGTTTATGGTTTAAGTTTGAACAATTTTTCTAAGTATTTGGAATAATTTGTTTTGTTTTGGTTTGTTTTGAATTATGAATTGTTATTTGAATGGATATTATTTTCTCGAATTGCTTAATTGAATGAATGGACTTATATTTATACATGTGACCAATTCAATCAATTTATTTCTAGGTATGTCTAGTGGGAAGTTAGTTGTCTGGCAGATAGTGCAACCACGCACACCATATTGCGTGAACGCCACTATTTTACTAACTTCATACCCAAGAAAGCTCATTTGACAACTCTCTCAGGCTCATCCAACATGATTGAAGGATACAGAAAGGCACATATCATGTTGTCTAATGGTACAATTCTGACCATTAAGGAGGCACTCTATTCTCCACGTTCCGGAAAAACGTTGCTGAGTTTTAGAGACATTCGAGATAATTAATATCATCTTGAAACCACTAAAGATCATGGTTCTGAATTTCTTTGTATCACTTCATATGAATATGGCCAGAAGCATATTCACGAGAAGTTGGAACGCTTGCCGAGTGAGTTGTATATCACAACCATTCGCGGCATAGAAGCACACAGTGTGGCCGGCCCTATGTCTGCGTTCCCGGACACTTTGTTGATTTGGCATGATCGTTTGGGACATCCTAGACGTGACATGATGCGCTGTATCCTCAAATCTTCACACGGGCATAAGTTACATCGCTATGTTGGACTTCCACCATGCAAAGTGTGTTCTTTAGGGAAGTTGAATACTCAACCCTCATATACAAAGATTATTCACGACCCCCCCTAAATTTCTTCAAAGGATTCAAGGGGACATTTGTGGACCAATCCAACCAACCTACGGACCATTTAGATACTTTATGGTGTTGGTTGATGCATCGACAAGATGGTCACATGTTTGCTTGTTATCCACACGCAACGTCGTGTTTGCTAAACTCCTAGCTCAAATCATTAAGCTAAGGGCTCATCACCCTAATTATTCGATTAAGTTGATTCGACTGGATAATGCTGGAGAGTACGTCACAGAGTTTTGACGATTATTGCATGTCAGTAGGGATAAATGTGGAACATCTTGTACCCCATGTTCACCCCCAAAATGACCTGGCAGAAGTTTTCATAAAGCGCATTCAATTAATAGCTCAGACTTTGGTTATGCGAACCAAACTACCGGTATCTGCCTGGGGCTATGCAATATTGCACGCAGCTATATTGGTCCGCCTGAGGCCCACCGCTACCCAACCACATTCACCATTACAGTTGGTCACTGGATACGAGCCTGACGTCTCGTATGTACGGGTGTTTGGGTGCGCCATTTATGTGTCAATAACGCTGCCGCTACGCACCAAAATGGGTCATCAGAGAAAATTGGGAATATATGTCGGTTATGATTCGCCATCAATTGTTCGATACTTAGAACCCTTGACATGAGATCTCTTTACTGTACGTTTTACGGATTGTCACTTTGATGAGACAATCTTCATGTCGTTAGGGGGAGATAAGCATGTTAACGTTCCCGTAGAACGTCGCGAATTGTCGTGGTATGCTTCCACTATGTCTCATTTAGATCCCCGCACTGCCCTGTCTGAAACTGAGGTGCGTCAAATTATAGATCTTCAGAGCATTGCTTAAAGTATGCCGGATGCTGTTAATGATCTAGCAAAGGTGACAAGATCACATATACCCGCTGCAAACACACCTGCAAAGATAGATGTACCCCGTGTACTTCAACAACCCGCCTGGGAAGGCTGGACTATACCCGAAGATGGGGGGCCGCACCTTCCACGTGGCAAGGTACATTGGCAGCTAGCCAATCATCTGTTCCGACCCTGAAGCGTGGCAGACCATTTGGTTCAAAGGATTCACAACCCTAGAAGAGGAAAATGGCACAAACTAGTGACCCTAGTTTGAATCCGACCATCGCTCACTCATCCGTTTCAACGCATGAGGTCATTCTAGATTATGGTGATGCTTCAGATGAAACATGCCGACCTCCCGAGAATCGCGAGATTTCAATCCACTACACAGTATTGGATGAGATTTGGAATAGGAATGAGATGATCGTTGACGATGCATTCTCGTACTCAGTAGCTACTGACATCATGCTTAGCGATGACATTGAACCACGTTCCGTCAATGAATGCTGACGTAAAACTGATTGGTCAAACTGGAAACAAGCAATCCAGGTCGAACTCGATTCGCTCGCGAAACGTAAGGTATTTAGACCTATCGTTCCTACACAACCACGCGTGAAGCCTGTTGGCTACAAGTGGGTTTTCGTGAGGAAGCGTAATGAGAAGAATGAAATAGTGCAATACAAAGCACTCCTCGTAGCGCAAGGCTTTTCTCAGCGCCCAGGGATTGATTACGAGGAGACGTATTCCCCCGTAATGGACGTTATAACGTTCTGCTACCTAATCAGTTTGGTAGTTTCTGAAAAACTGAATATGCAGCTTACAGACGTGGTAACCGCGTATCTCTATGAGGATCTAGATACGAAAATTTATATGAAAGTTTCAGAAGGAATTCCATTGACTGGCTCAAATAGTTCTAGACCATGGAACACTCTCTCAATTAGGTTGAAGAGGTCACTCTACGGATTAAAACAATCCGAGCGGATGTGGTATAACCGTGTGAGTGAATATTTGACAAGTCAGGGTTATGTGAACAACGAACTATGCCCATGCGTGTTCATAAAGAAGTCACATTTCAGATTCACAATCGTTGCAGTTTATGTCGATGACATGAACCTCATTGGGACTCCCGCAGAGGTTGAGGAAATTGCTACAGACTTGAAATGGAATTTGAGATGAAAGATCTTGGGAAAACTCGATACTATATAGGCCTGGAGATCGAGCATTGTTCAAATGGAATCCTAGTACATCAATCGAACTACACCCAAAAGGTGTTGCGACGTTTTAATGAGGATTAATCGAAGCCTTCGAGTACACCCATGGTTGTTCGGACTCTAGATGCTAAACGAGATCCCTTCCATCCAAAAGAGGATGAGGAAGAGATTTTGGAAACCGAAGTTCCTTACCTAAGTGCAATTGGGGCTTTATTGTACTTGGCTCAGTGCACTAGACCTGACATCTCCTTTGCTGTGAATCTATTGGCTAGATACAGCAATGCGCCCACACGCAGGCACTGTAATGGTGTTAAAGACATTTTCCGTTATGTCAAAGGTACTACGGATTTGGGCTTGTTCTATACCCGTGAATCTCCAAGTGTTACCGTCCCCTATGGCCCTCAGATTGATTCTCGCCTTGTTGGTTACGCAGATGCTGGAGATCTGTCTGACCCACATAGAGCACGTTCTCAAACAGGTTATGTCTTTACCGTTGGAGACACCGCTATATCTTAGAGGTCTACTAAGCAAACGCTAGTTGCGACTTCGTCTAACCATGCTGAGATTCTCGCCCTACATGAAGCATCGCGTGAGTGCTTTTGGTTGAGAGAAGTTATGGAACATATTCGAAGCACTAGTGGTCTTACATTAGTCGTTGACCTTCCTACAACGATCTTTGAAGACAATACAGCATGTATCGAGCAGCTGAAGAAGGGATACATCAAGGGAGACAACACCAAGCACATAGCGCCAAAGTTCTTTTACTCACACCAGCAGCAACAGCATCAGAACATTGAAGTCAAGCAAATCCGTTCCCAGGACAACCTGGCAGACAGTGGCGGATCCACAGTGGGGTCAATGGGGTCGCACGACCCCTTGGAAGTCATGGAAACAACCTTAGAGATCCATTGGAGCTATTGGTACGACCCCTTGGAGTTGCTGGTGAGACCCCTTGGCTGCACCAAGTGTTCGACGAAAGGTCTGAAAGAACCACCTTCATCTCTATTCAAAGTTCAAAACTCATTGAAGGAATCTTGATAAGTTTGTACTTATAGCCCGTGCATCATATCTTGTATCGCAGTACACTGACCTTGCTGAGGCAGACCATTCTTTAATATTAGAGCATTTTCGGCAAGCAACAATGAGATGGAACCCAGAAGTGAGTGCTCAATCAGCAGTTGATAATGAGTCTGTGAAAGATGAACAAAAATCTCATATGATAGTTGCAACAGATGCATGCCTTCCGCTGCTTCCTTCTGGGGAGTCACCTATAGCTGCCCGTGTTCTTATAAATTATGAGTTACCGACAAAGAAGGTACAGTTCTCATTTTTCCTTTTGGGAATTGGGACTTAGATGTACTGCAATTTCACGCATCCACTTATGCTGACAGTTACTCTTGTTGTGCCATTTCAAGGTCGTTAATGATTGAATTCTGTGTTATAACAGTTGTATACATGGGACTGCATGTGGTTTTGCTACCTTATGCATTACATACTGCGTCCCTTCTATTTTCTCATGTATATATGCTTCCTTCCTTACAATCCTCTGTGAAGGAAACATATACAAGCCGTATGACAACTTGTTTGGCTGCAGGTTCGTCCTACCAAGTTGTACTACTTTGTTAGTTGCATATTAATGGGGTATGCTCTCTTGCGATAACTTTGTACAAATACGTGCAGATGGGATTGTAATCAACATGGTCGTCGGGGGTGAGGTAGTAACTCTCAAAAGTCTTGAAGAAAGTAGCAACCTGGTCATAGCTGAGATGCCCATACATGTGAGTTTGTTAATGCGTATGTTTCCCACATTTCTTGTATCATATATTGTATCGCAGGTTATACTTATAGCCGTTTCTGTTAAAAAAAAATTGCGCGCTACGCGCGTTATCCTTATTGACCCCCTAAACATTATTTCCTGGATCCGCCACTGCTGGCCGATCTCTTCACCAATTCATTGCCTAAGTCTACATTTCAGAAGCTCGTCCAAGGAATCAGTATGCGTAAATTATCTGAGTTGAATCGCTTGTAGTTCTCTTATTTAGAAGTTATGTCTAACTCAGGGGGAGTATTTAGAAGCATACTCACATGATCTTAATGTACTATTTTTCCTACGATTAGGAGCATTTTTCCCACTAGGTTTTTGCTACCTAACGAGGTTTTAATGAGGCACCCACCCTGGGATGATCGTACTCCGATGAGTTCACTACCTTCGTCCAGTTTGATGAGTGTTTAGACATTATGCATATTTTCTTACTTTTCTCCTTAGTCTATGGGGTTTCCCCATTTCTTGGGTTTTACCATAGCAAGGTTTTTGTGAGTTTTTACAAATGCATACTTCAAAGTAAATTTGAGACTCGCAATCACCCGTTGTACTGATGACTTCATCAACTATTCTACCTTATTTGCTGAAGATCTGATGCGATGGTTTGTTGAGTATTTACACACTCAAGGGGGAGTGTTGCAGTCATATTTAGAATAGGAATGTGATTGTGTAAATCCTAGGGAATCTAGGAATGTATCTTATATTCCTATTAGGACTAGATTACCTATTAAATGTTGTAATCCTAAAGGGAAAGGTTTTACCCTTTCTACTACTATAAATAAAGGCACAATGGGGTGAATCAAACACACCTCACAATTAAATCAATCTCTCTTCTCCCTAAAGCTTGCCGCACCCCTCTCTCTCTAACCTTAGATCGCTCAATCAAACAGGCCTACAACAAAGATGTCGTTAAACTAACAAAGGATAATCCGTTTGCTTAACAAATGAAATGTAGATTATAACTAATCCAATTCGGCTTAGTACTATATATACTACCCTTGGGAGACAAATATTATCATAAAAATTTTGATTGTTATACAGTAAGGAGTGTAGCTCTAATTAAGGGCACCGAACTAGTATTCTGATTTCTTAACATTAACTTATGTAACGCATAACAAATCATACACAAACGAAATGCCTGCATGCTAAAGGGGATTTAAAATATTAAGATAGGAGTCGGTTGCCAATTGGAGTACCCAAAATTAATTGGGTCATAGGAGCAGATGGCAATAGTTTCATATAGCACAAACAATCTTAATTAAGAAAGCAAATGTTGTTTTAATGATGTTTCAGTTTTAACATGGAGAGTAATCCAACTATTTATAAACCATTGCAAACTCTATTCTTTTTCCGATTTAAGATTCATACTCTCAACAATTTATAAATTAGGATACAAGTTTGTTCTAGTCTGGCAGAGAATGCTATGCTAGTGCATGCATCAAAGTTGAAACGGAGAGAAATGACAACAACTTAGTTTCGCCCAGCATCTTCATAGTGTCCTTAAAAGACAAAAACAAAAATCAAAAGAGGGGAGTGTTTTAAGAGGCCTCTTTCTGTTTTTGTTTATGTTGAAATTGGGTAAAAGAAGTTGAAGAAGCTCAAAAGCTTAAAGAGTTAGTTGTGGAAATTGGACCAAAAGCACAAACATAGAGATAATTCTTTTCCACGACTTTTCTTTTCTCATGATATCACGAGTCGAGTTGCTTCAACTGGTCATATAAATTAATTGAAGAGAAAAGGAAAATCACATGGTGGTGAGTACACAACTGTACAAGTAACATGTGGTTAAACTAATGAAGGATAATCCGTTTACTTAACAAATCTAATGTGAATTATAACTAATGCAATCCTCCGATTTGGTAAATTTATACACAAACACACAAACACACAAACACACACACACGCACATGCACATACATGAACAGTGAAAGAGTAAAAAGCTATGCTAGGAGCAGAAGGGGAGGGAGTGACTGTGGACTATAGTAAGCTTTCAGTTTTTAACTGGAGGGAAAGGGAAGGATGGTAGGAACACCAGAAAATGCCGTCAATCCTTAAAAGCAGAAAAGGCAAACAAAAACTCAAAGAGTAGGTACAGGACCACAATACATATAGGCCCCCATTCAAATGAGTTCCCCCTTTATATAATACGTGTGTACTTCTACTAGCAGAGAGGAGAAGGCCTGTTTCTATTTAGGATTAACAAAAGAAGCTTCAAAGCTTCAATTGACAATTCTGGAAAATAATGGACCCCAAAATTAGAGACCCTTCTCAAATTTGGGCTAAAGGCTAGCTCTCCAATCCAATCCATTTACTAAGCTCTTCAAGGCTGAGGGAAGAAGAAATAAGAATCTTCCCATATATACAAAAAGCAACAAGCACACAACTACCGTAATCTATTTTTGTCCCGATATTAATTTCATTATTTTCAATTCAAAACTTAATTGCGTTCTTAATTTCATGATCGGGTGTTTATGCCTTTCAGCCTTGCTTTGTGAGGTTTATTTTTGGAAGGGTCTTTAATAAAAAGCTAACTAGCTCAACAGACCAGACTGGAAACCATAAACCACATTTCTGGTCAAAAAAACATTCGAAGATGGATCAAGAAAACCAATTTTAAACATAAGTACCTTAATTTCTGTTTCTTGCTTGCTAGCCCCTCTATGCTTTAAAAAAGTAACTAATGCCAACTACCAAAAGGAATTATAATGCAAATCTAGAGTCTCTAGTTCAGATGGAAGCGGGGAGGTGATTGTAACATCCCATATCGTCCAGGAAAGTGGATCCTCTAAGCCTTATATGTACATTCTCACTTCCAATTAGCACGAGGTTTTTTTAGAGCTCACTGGCTTTGGGTTCCATCGGAACTCCGAAGTTAAGCGAGTTCGCGCGAGAGCATTCCCAGGATGGGTGACCCACTGGGAAGTTCTACTCGCATGAGTTCCCAAAAACAAAACCGTGAAGGCGTGGTCGGGGCCCAAAGCGGACAATATAAAGTTTTTTTTTTTCAAATAAAAAAAATTTTTTTTTTTTATTTTCATATTCTTTCATAACCTAAGAGGTCGCACTTGGTGCGATGGCAAGTGCCTTCGCCCATGAGCGGTAGGTCTCGGGTTCGAGACTTGGGAGCAGCCTCTCCATAAATGGGGGTAAGGCTAGCCGACATTCACCTCTCCCAGACCCTGCGTAAAGCGGGAGCCTTGTGCACTGGGTACGACCTTCTTTCATAACCTAAATATTGTTAAGAGCCTCTCGGCGTGAAAACAAAAAAGTTTGTGATGCTGAAATAGGCCTCCCGATAGATTAGATAAAATCGGAAATACCTTTTATCTACTTTTTCGACCATGAGGGCATGGTCGGGGTCCAAAGCAGACAATATCGTGCTACGGCGGAGTCGAGTCCTGAATGTGGTGGGGGCCGGGGCGGGGATATGAAAATTTGGTATCAAAGCCAATCCCTAGCCGGAAGTGTGCCGACAAGGATGTCGGGCCCCTAAGGGGGGGGTGGATTGTAACATCCCACATCGCCCAGGGGAGTGGATCCTCTAAACCTTATATGTACATTCCCACCTCCAATTAGAACGAGACATTTTGGGAGCTCACTGGCTTCGGGTTCCATCGGAACTTCGAAGTTAAGCGAGTTCGCACGAGAGCATTCCCATGATGGGTGACCCACTGGGAAGTTTTACTCGCGTGAGTTCCCAGAAATAAAACCGTGAGAGCGTGGTCGGGGCTCAAGGCGGACAATATCGTGCTACGGCGGAGTCGAGCCCAGACCGGGATATGACAATGATAGTCCGCTGCAATCACATAGAAAAAAGTAAATGATTTTTAAATTAAAAGATGTATTTAATTAGGATTTTAAAGGCGATAGTAGTAAGTGGCGATTTTAAATGATTTTTAAAATGAAAGACTTTATTGGTTGAATCTGTTGATAAAATATTTTGCACAAATATTATTATTCACTTTCGATGTGCCTATGGTGCGATGGCAGCTAGTGCTCCGAGTGGTGCCTAATCCAGTGATAATTGCAAAGAGATTCCAGCGTAATTTGAATCTTGAAAATTGAGCTTTGCTTTTATTGTTTGTCGTTTTTCGCGTATCAAACATTGTTAGTTAGATCCCAAAAGCACATGTTGATGCACAAAATCAGTGAGGACTTTGGTACAACAGAAAATGTTAAGTTCGTGACTTTCGCTAGATTGCTCCAGTCACTAGTGTGGATAAGTATGCAAATGGATAGAGACAGGGAAGCAAACACAAGATGTACGTGGTTCACCCAAATTGGCTACGTCCACGGAGTAGAGAAGTTCTCATTAATTGTGAAGGGTTTACACAAGTACATAGGTTCAAGCTTTTATTTAGTGAGTACTAGTGAATGATTTAGTACAAATGGCATTAGGAAATATTGTGGGAGAATGATCTCCTTTTATAGAAGAAAGTTTCTAGCTTTGTTCTGATATTGACACGTGTCGTGTTGTGATTGGCTTTTGATGTCGACACGTGTCGCGCTGTGATTGGCCTCCTCGTTGGAGGGAAACTCTCCTGGGTCCTTGACGGTATAACGTTGACCAGTGCTCGGTAGTTTCGGGATTAGTCAAGTATGGTACAAACAACACGCATTGAAAAATTGGTACAAATAACTTTTCTTGGATGTCTAAATGATCTTAAGTTGAATAATTTTTTACAAATATAATCTTTAGTTATATGATTATAAAGAAGATAAACAAGTTTAATAATCTTTTACAAAAATAATCTTTAGTTACATGATAATAAAGAAGATAAACGATTTGTATGGTTGAGATACATTAATCATAGATGAAAAAATAATTAGGTACCTCCACATGAACACATAATTTATAACTAACCACTCCACTTCTTAAGAAAACTCCCCATCTCTTTTTTATCTCCTGCATGCATATCGTCAAATACATTCCAACTTTCTTGATCAACAATGATCTAGATGAACAAGAGAAACCATTACAATTCGGTACAATGTAGTGGTAGGATTGAATTGGTACATAAGTTTCTGTATGAATGCATCGGTACATAAGTTTTAGTACGAATGTATTAGTACATATGCTTCGGTAGGAATGTATCAGTACATAAGTTTCAGTACAAAAATCGGTACCTAAGTTTCGGTACAATTGCTTCAGAATATAACTTTTGTTATATTTAGAAAGCAAATGTTGTTTTAATGATGTTTTAACATGGTAAGTAACCCAACCGCTTACAAGCAATTGCAAACTCAATTCGTTCTCCTTTGTAAGGTTCATATTCTCAACAATTAATAAATTAAGATTTAAGTTTATCTTCGTCTGGTAGAGAATGCTAAAGCATGCGCCAAAGTTGAAACGAAGAGAAATGAACACAAATTAGTTTTGCCCTGCATCTTAATCAGCTCTTTAAAAGACAAAAGCAAAAATCAAAGAGATGAGAGAGTTTTAAGATGCATCTTTCTGTTATTGTTTCTGTTGAATTAGAGTAAAAGAAGTTAAAGAAGCTCAAAAACTCAAAAGCTCAAAGAAGCAATTGGGGAATTAAGCCATAATTGTGTTTCAGAAAATTGAATTGTAGTATTTTTACAAATTTGTTTTAGGAAAAGGCTAAAAGCAGGTGAATTTTACTGGCACGTACCTCGTCTGGCTGTTGAAGCCCTTCAAACATTTGAGACGGGCGCTTTTCTTAAAAAATTAATCTTGATAGCTCGTGGCCCTGGTTTTGGAAATTAGGCACCTTTCCCATAGATTTGAGTCTTCCTGATGCTATTTTAGTTTGTTGGGTATAATTATATTCAATAGCTGAGTGTCGAACAAGATGATCTTACTTTAGTTCTTGCTTTGTGGCACCAGTTAATTATGTTCAGGTATACATAGACGAAATTATTTGCACGTGGGAAATAAGGAAAGCAGAAAGATGCTACTATGAAATTATTTGCATGTATCATGTATTAAGATGATATACATGAGCATGCACCCAACAGTGTTGATTGTGATGATGTCTTTTTGTGATATTCACTGATATTCTTTCTTTGCATGGCAGGATATTTCATCCTACCATGGGGGCTGCTCACATACTCGTGCCCTGTCTTGCCGTCCTTATTTCGTCCTTCGGTGCCCATGGTAACATTTCATACACGTGTCGCACTGTGATTGGCCTCCTAGTTGGAGAGAAACTCTTCTGGGTCCTTGATGGTATAACGTTGACTGGTACTCGGTAGTTTCGGGATTGGTCAAGTATGGTACAAACAGCACGCATTGAAAAATTGGTACAAATAACTTTTCTTGGATGTCTAAATGATCTTAATTTGAATAATTTTTTACAAATATAATCTTTAGTTATATGATTATAAATAAGATAAACAAGTTTAATAATCTTTTACAAAAACAATCTTTAGTTACATGATAATAAAGAAGATAAACGATTTGTATGATTGAGATACATTAATCATAGATGAAAAAATAATTAGGTACCTCCACATGAACACATAATTTATAACTAACCACTCCACTTCTTAAGAAAACTCCCCATCTCTTTTTTGTCTCCTGCATGCAAATCGTCAAATACATTCCAACTTTCTTGATCAACAATGATCTAGATGAACAAGAGAAACCATTACAATTCGGTACAATGTAGTGGTACGATTGAATTGGTACATAAGTTTCTGTATGAATGAATGCATCGGTACATAAGTTTTAGTAAGAATGTATTAGTACATATGTTTCGGTACGAATGTATCAGTACATAAGTTTCAGTACAAAAATCGGTACCTAAGTTTCGGTACAATTGCTTCAGAATATAACTTTTGTTATATTTAGAAAGCAAATGTTGTTTTAATGATGTTTTAACATGGTAAGTAACCCAACCGCTTACAAGCAATTGCAAACTCAATTCGTTCTCCTTTGTAAGGTTCATATTCTCAACAATTAATAAATTAGGATTTAAGTTTATCTTCGTCTGGTAGAGAATGCTAAAGCATGCGCCAAAGTTGAAACGAAGAGAAATGAACACAAATTAGTTTTGCCCTGCATCTTAATCGGCTCCTTAAAAGACAAAAGCAAAAATCAAAGAGATGAGAGAGTTTTAAGATGCATCTTTCTGTTATTGTTTCTGTTGAATTAGAGTAAAAGACGTTAAAGAAGCTCAAAAACTCAAAAGCTCAAAGAAGCAATTGGGGAATTAAGCCATAATTGTGTTTCAGAAAATTGAAATTGTAGTATTTTTTTACAAATTTGTTTTTAGGAAAAGGCTAAAAGCAGGTGAATTTTACTGGCACGTACCTCGTCTGGCTGTTGAAGCCCTTCAAACATTTGAGACGGGCGCTTTTCTTAAAAAATTAATCTTGATAGCTCGTGGCCCTGGTTTTGGAAATTAGGCACCTTTCCCATAGATTTGAGTCTTCCTGATGCTATTTTAGTTTGTTGGGTATAATTATATTCAATAGCTGAGTGTCGGAGAAGATGATCTTACTTTAGTTCTTGCTTTGTGGCACCAGTTAATTATGTTCAGATATACATAGACGAAATTATTTGCATGTGGGAAATAAGGAAAGCAGAAAGATGCTAATATGAAATTATTTGCATGTATCATGTATTAAGATGATATACATGAGCATGCACCCAACAGTGTTGATTGTGATGATGTCTTTTTGTGATATTCACTGATATTCTTTCTTTGCATGGCAGGATATTTCATACTACCATGGGGGCTGCTCACATACTCGTGCCCTGTCTTGCCGTCCTTATTTCGTCCTTCGGTGCCCATGGTAACATTTTCTCACTAGAGAGAGCGTTTCCTAGGAGTCACCATATGAGACATGACGAGCTCCAAGCTCGTGACCGAATGAGACAGGCCCACCTCTTTAAGAGCAAGTCTACTCCTAAAAACTTTGCGTCAGCACCTAACGCATTTATCCACTCAAATTAACAGTAAGTAATAGACCACAGTGAACAGTAATAGGCCAAGGCATCTCCAACCCTAAAACTAAATAGCCTAGTCAATTTTATTAAAATATTATTAATTTTTATTAGAAAATAATAATTTGATTTATTAAAATATTATCAATTTTATAAGGAACTCTTCTCGAACCTCCCTCAAAACCTCACCATTTCGCTCCGCACCCTGAGACCTCCCTCTGCATCTCTCTCTCCCTCTCTCTCTCTCTCTCTCTCTCTCTCTCTCTCTCTCTCTCTCTACCCATTTCGCTCCGCACCCCTGGAACCTCCCTCTACAACTCTTCCGATCTTCCCCCACAGAAAAATGAAAATCCGCACCCCTGGGTTTTTCTTGGTTTGCCGTTGCTTTCTGGGTTTTTTTTATATGTTGTTTTGTTATGCTGTGGCTCGAAATCGGAGGTTGTCACCGAGAAAAAACCCAACGAAATTGTTCTCCAGCTCAGCCCCAATCGGAGGAATCGGAGGTTGTCACCGTGAAAGGCACACGCCAGGCAAATAGCCCGGCTCCTTGGTCAGTCAATTTTGGACTGGCCCACAAACTAGCTTGGGCTGGGTGCCAGGCAAATTGCTGGGCTGGAGTGAATTGACAGGGTGCCAGCCTGGTTTTTTGACTGGGTGCTGGGCTATTCCACCTCCGGTGGAACTGCTCTAAAAGAGTTGTGGGTGGTATAGCCAACGTATCAGTGGTATACGAGGATTTCTACAGTCCTGAACATATCGGGTAATAGCTTAATCCCGTATGACTTTAGGCTTTTATATTAAATAAATTAAATCTTTCTTTCTTGAAAAAATAAGGGCAGCAAGAACTCTTTATTGAATTTTTTTTTCCAAGTTTTTGTTTGTTACAACTGTCTTAACTTCCGTTGAATTTGCAAATTTTTTGCTTTAGCCGACATTGGTTGGGAAGGTTTTTATGTTGATTTAATTTCTTAAACGAAGGGTGTTTGTCATTTACTTAATTTAAAGCTTGCACAATCTCCTATATAATCTGCCGATATAATCTTTAGTTACAAAGTTCACTATATTTGGTTAATGATTCTGAGGTTTCTTTGTATTCATTTTTTCCTTCAATCACTCCTCTATTTTAGTGTCTTGGTAAGATTGAATAGTTAATGTTATTAAAACTTGAATAACTTTTGTTCATTTTCTGTTCTTGCATGAAATCACTAGGGTGTACTTGACAAAAGTGAAACTCGGCTGTCCACCAAGAGAATTCTATGTGATGATCGACACAGGAGCGACGTGATGTGGGTTTCATGCTCGTCATGCAAAGTTTGTCCCCGGCATACTGAGCTTGGCGGAGTAAGTTTTTACTTATTTTTTAGCAGATTTGACTTTTCTTTGGTTAAATTTTGGTGATTCAACTAAATAAATTTTTATACTAGCGGAAACTAAAATACCCCTTACAGAATTTCGATGTGACTTTTAGGAGCTCTTATACCTTTCAGTGTCCCTAGTTAAGAGTGGTTGTATTTAAATCTTAAAACTAGCATTCATCTGTGTTGGTAGGTGGTACACCAAACTATAAATTTCATCTTTCAATTTTTTCGTTGGGTATACAAGTAGGATAATAGTAAACATTAGGTTACACGACTGTGTCCCCCCAACCCAATTGACAATACTGACTGAGATGGCCCGAACCGTAGTGATGTCATATTTGGTGAAGAAAAAGGTTTCCAGCTCCCTTGACAGCAGTGCTGTGTTAAGAACTTAAGATCCACGGTTCATTGGGCAAAAAGTCCCCAGTCTTGGCCCACTCTAACTCCAATCTGTCAGTCTTGGTCTTTTGAATAATAGTCGTTAGAGTAGTAGAAACAGAACACTCATATCATACTTTTATTCAAACATCAGGCATACTAAACGTTGTATTCCATGTTAATCTACTCAAAATTATTTGATAATTATCCTAAATAATCTATGCATGTTACAGCTTTCGTTCAATTTCTACGACCCTGCCGACTCATCCACCGCTCGGCCAGTTCCTTGTTCCGACAAGTTGTGCAAAGCTTCTTTAGAGACCGAATGCTCACATCCGACAAAACAGTGCAGATATCATCTGAGATATGCAGACGAAGATGAGATAGCCGGGTATTACATGTCAGATGAAGTACATTTTGACATGATACTGGTTCAGTCTCATGTTAAAATTGAGTCTTCAGCGACCGTTGTTTTCGGGTGAGCTATCTTAACCTTTCTGTTCTAACAATCAATCAACATTAAGAGGAAAAAACAGATCGAGAAATTTTTTTCATGTTGTTTATTGTTGCATTGAAGCTAAACTAGTATTGGTTTGGTGATCAAATGGATTGAAAACAGGTGTAGTACCTCTGTGGCTGGGCTTTTGGGGGGGACTATAGCTTCAGTCAACGGAGTATTTGGATTCGGCCAAGGGCTAATGTCAGTTATATCACAGTTGTCCTCTCAAGGGGCAACTGCTAATGTGTTCTCCCATTGTTTGAAGGGCGATGACAATGGAGGTGGTATACTCGTTCTTGGTGAGATTTTAGAGCCAAGTATCGTTTATACCCCTCTTGTCCCGACAGTGTATGTCTCTCTTCTTAAAATTTATTTTATTTAATTGAAAATTTTGGGATAGGATGTTTGATTTGTGAATCATCTTCTTGATTAGTCCACTTGTCTTCTTGTCACTACATGTCAATTAGTTGGGTTTGTTAGTCCATTAAGTAGCTGAGTGGTTTGGTTGAGCCTTAGCTTGCAGTAGTGTAATATACTGACTTCCTTGATAGCCCAGGAGTCTGAAATGAATGTTAGAGAACAATCAGATTTCTGTGTATTCTAACAGAACACTGAACTATCAATAGTAACACTAACAATTAACAACGAGATTTACAAAGATTTTTTCTTAAATAGAGTTTAGAATTCACGAGAAACTGACTTGAATGGTTGAGTAGAGGCTACCAGACTTGCTAGATGCTAATTCCTACAGTTCCAACTCCAACTACATATCCTAAGTTTATAAGGACTAGTAGAAAGATATAGCTTTCCAGTTAATGTAATAACTACCTTTTGTATTAGGGACCTGATCAGGTAAGTTTTCCTCCAGGCTCTGGCTTATTTTGTAAAAATATCTTATAATTTCGAGTGGAAGTAATACTGTGGGAAAATGTATGGAATTAATAAGTGCTTTCTTTTGTCACAGAATGGTTCACAGTTTTTGGAGGTTAGTTCTCGAAACAATGTTATACATTTTATTATAATGCTCCAGTACGGATTTTCAATTTAATACATCTCTCCACACCGTTTTAAGAGTAAAAACAACACATCTCAGTAAAATCTTCAGAGAGAAGCATTCTGCAATACATAGATATTGTATAACAAATATAAGGTTCCCTACTACAATACTATTTGTGATCATATAAGTTACATGATATAACAATGAAGTATAGAACTTATGCCAACAAAACGAACTAATTTAGTCCTCATTAGAACCGAGCATCCAAAATCCAATGCCTGAACTGCCAAGATATATGATAAATCATTTCTAAGCAGAAAAAAAATCAAATTTTCAAGGAGCATGTAGTTTTCTTCAAACTATAACATTATACCAAGGGACCATTTCTCGATACGTTTCTCGATACGTACAAGCACCAATTTACAAGAATAAGTTAAAAAGAGACCTGAATGACCAGTAAATAAACTCAGTATCACCATCATTGTCTTAAAATCAGAATACAGACTTTAAACATATTGCTTACAGTAAAACAAGCAAGTCCACGACAAATTTAACTTGATTACGTATCAGGACTACAGGGGATCCAAAAGGCTATGGATGCATATTTAAGCTTCTAGCAGATGAGGATGCATATTTAGGCTTCCTTATGAGAACGTACGAGTCAAATTTAACTGGATTCCTAACCAAGAAGTCTGCTTCCCAACAAAGAAACAACAAAGACATGTAGTCTGCGAGTTAACAGCTACCCCAACAATTATAGCTCTCCCTGAGCGCTATACCATTATTATTTATCAGATATCCAAGCACGATCATATGTATGAAATAAGAGTTCCATTGTCTTAGAAAACAAAGCCAACACCTCAAAGAGCATGATGAACAAGAACACTGTCAACGGAGTTAAAATGGTCATCCAACTAAAACTTGTTCGAGCATAGGATGGATTGCTGAGCTTGTGAGTGTCACAAACACAGAGAACCATGGTGTTCTCATGTAGGAGAGTTAAATACCATGTTTCAATCACTCTGTAACTCAATGAATTCACAACACAAACTTTTATAAACAAGTTCCAACAAGTACTTTTATTACTTCTATTGCCATAAAAGAAAGAAAAAGAATGAACATGAAACGTGAAATTATATATACAAAAAGGTAATAAAAATACTTTTCATTCAATTTTGCTTTGATGATTTCGCTCCTATTTGAATGCTCTTCTCCCTCATATTTTTCAGCCTAAACAGTAAAGTGTCGAACAGATTCATACCAAAAGCCACATCAATAAGCTTCAAAGTGTGTATTGATGTGTTAAGACCCCATAATTTGCTAAAATCCACACAGAAAACTAAATAAACGTGTCATATCATAGACAAAAACCCCAAAAATTATCTCCAAGGTTTTGCGCACAAAAAAATATTTAGAAACAAATAGATATGCTCAGTATTTCCCAAAGGTTTAGCGCACAAGGAAAATATTTAGAAACAAATATAATATGCTCAGTATTTCCTAAAGGTTTAGGCACAAGAAAAATCTATAGAAACAAATATAACTCTTACTCATCATGGAGAGAATGGTGCACGTTGTGTTCTTTTGCTAGTTGGATTATTCTACATCAATTAAAGTCATATTTTTGTTGGTATGACAAAGAAAATATTTTATCTTCATTTAAAAAAGGCAAATAATTAACTTAAAAATGATAAATTATTTAAGAATATCTGGTTTGATTTGTCACACCCCAATCTCGACATACGTCGAGGAACAACATGTGACGACATCAAATACTCGTATACCTAACATACCCCACCTCCGAGATATGTACCAAGCACAACTCATGACTCCATTTGCGTAGTGATTTTTCGTAAACTTTATGGTTGCATCTAACCTCCTCGTTAGTCTGTCTACATACTCTAAACAGGGATCAAACCATTTGTTGTTCATCATTTACTACACTCGAACAATCATCACATATATCACTATGTGTCAACATCATATCAGAACTCAAGCAGGCAACATCTCAAGTAACATTCGATGAAGCACAACAATAAATCTCTAGCCATATTGGTCAACAAGTCTAATTATAATGACAACAGTCACAACCAACATCATTCCCCAATCACATCCATCAATAACACATACTATACACCGAAATGCAGGACTAAAGCGACACAGTTCGGCCAAAGCCTACATCTCAGAAGCTGTCTCAAATGAACCAATCCAAGGAACTAGTGAGTCAAATGATGCGATTCTGGACCACTCAACAAAATCCATCAACATCGGGTTCCAGACCACTCAATGGAACCAAGACACCAAAGGGGAATTCGAACCATTCAACGAAATCCAAATCAGGATACGATTCTGGACCACTCAACGGAATCGTGGATAATAAGGGATTCCAAACCTCTCAACGGAATCCAGACGGATCAAGGAACCGGGCCACTCAATGGAACCCCAGCGGATACTCAATTCTAGATCACTCAATGGAACTGAGCAGAGGGCCAAGGAACATATCAACGGCTCGAATAAACCAAACGTGAATCAAGTGCTCAAAATACAAAATCTCAACGAAACAAGAATGGAACAATGATATGATATGTGAAACAAGTCTCGAAACAACAAACCCCATAACAATGGGTTAACAGTCCACTACTAGCCCTCATATTTTGTCATATCATACCAACTATGCAAATCAACCACATTTCAAATATGCACATCAAGTCACATATCTCATAATCATCATCAGTACACAAGCCAAATCGTGTTTAATAACCATAGGTCTATGGCTAAATATATAAACATCACATTTCAATAGAAATCACATTTATAAAACCAAGTCATATTCATAAATGATATTAATATGAGATGTCGAGTAATAATCATATCACATAAGTTCAATTCACTCTCTAACCAATATAGGCTCACTAGACTTCACTTAGTATCCCGTAGTACTAAATTTAGTATTTAGAACATTTTTAGACATGTTGACCAAAAGTCAACTCTCAATCAACGGTAGAGTCCACAACCCTACGTAATTCGATTCGGAAGATCCGCACATTGGATTTTGGATCCGTAACCTACTAAAATCTCATGGCGATCCGACGGTCAGATTTTTGCCAATTGCCATAATTAGGTGGCGGTCAACAATTTGTTTTACTAACTTAGAAATCTAATTCGAGAAGATCCATACGTCAGATTCCTGATCCGTCAGTTTCTAACATCCTCAAATATTACATATTATAATGTATTAAATTTTGGTGATAATCCAATGGTCGGATCGTCGATTCATATTTTGATCAAGTAAAGCATCATAGTGAAATTAGGTTCAATTGATCAAACCACGTCATACGAATATCAAATACAAACTCAGGACATCTAATTGAACTTAGAAAGTCATTGTCGGCCCATTGGCCACACGCTGCAGCAGGTGGCGGTTTCCCGCAAACGGAAACCCAATTTTCCGACTAACTCCAAAAATTACCAAACTTCACAGAAATGTAGATCCTAATTAGTAGAGTAAGTTTCATACCTGTGACTAAGGCTAATTTACCCGGGAAAGGCTTCAATTTACCTTGAACCCACCGGAAACCCTTGTTTTATGTGGTTTCAATCTATCACCTCTGGTGCTCCGCTGTCCCTATAATTGTTTGGGATTTGTTCCAGGCCTCAAGGGGAGTCTAGTCGTGGTGGTAATTGGAAGAGAACGTTTCAAAAATGGTGGATTGGAGCCACGGTGCCCTCGCACCCTCCGTTGTGGTTTTGCAAAATCAAAGCTGAATTCTCCAATTTTTGGGGTGGAATTGGTAAAGGGAAGGTAGTGGGGTATTTCCCAGATGGTTTCTCGGCTTAATTTGTCGGAATTGGGCAGGAAAAGCATCGGAAACCATGGTTTCTGTCGATCGGGTTGGGTCAGCAAAAAGGGGAAAACAGGTTGAGGTAGTCCCTTCAATCTCTTCTCCCTTATTTCCCCTCCATTCCTTCTCTTATGATTGGTCCTCCTTCCCCCTCCTTTCCCTCATTTCTTTTCTTTCCTTTCCATCATAGCCGTCCATCTATTCATTTCCCTTCATCCCAGCCACACACGTGGCACATCCTAGACTCCAGAAAATTTGGAGTCTTCTAGATCAAGCCAAAATTACAAAAATGTCCCTAACTTCAAACGTTAATAACTCTTTTGTTATAACTCCGTTTCACAAACGGTTTGAGCCTACACGTTCGTGAGATCGAGTTCTATTCGATATAAATTGTGACCTCGAATGGTCTATGAATTTTAAATAATTGATTTCCAAACTCTAAACTTTGTAACTAGTTTAATTAAATCTAAATTCAAATAAATTAATATAAATTATCAAAAAATAAGATAAAATCTCAATAATACAAATACGTAGATTATAATA